AATGGCTAAAAACAAGGCTCCAGGAATTGACAGAATACCAATTGACATGTTTCAACAAACGGATGCAGTGCTGGAGGTGATCACTCTTCTATGCCGAGAAATTTAGAAGACAGCTACCTGGCCAACCGACTGGAAGAGATCCATATACATGCCCATTCCAAAGAAAGGTGATCCAACAGAGTGTGGAAATTGTCAAACAATATCATTAATATCACACGCAAGTAAAATTTTGCTGAAAATCATTCAAAAATTGTTGCAGCAGTACATCGATAGGGAACTGCCAGAAATTCAAGCTGGATTCAGAAGAAGACGTGGAACGAGGGATATCATTGCTGATGTCAGATGGATCTTGGCTGAAAGCAGAGACTACCAGAAAGATGTTTACCTGTGTTTTATTGACTATGCAGAGGCATTTGACTGTGTGGGTTGTAACAAATTATGGATAACACTGTGAAGAATGGGAATTCCAGAACACTTAATTGTGCTCATGAGGAACCTGTACATAGACCAAGAGACAGTCGTTAGAAAAAAAAAGGGGATTCTTAGTGGTTTAAAATCAGGAAAGGTGTGCATCGGGGTTGTATCCTTTCACCATACCTATTCATTCTATATGCTGAGCAAATAATCCAAGAAGCTGGACCATATGAAGAAGAACAGGGCTTCAGGATTGGAGGAAGACTCATTAACAACCTGCTATATGCAGATGACACAACCTTTCTTGCTGAAAGTGAAGAGGGCTTGAAGCACTTCCTGATGAAGATCAAACACTACAGCCTGCACTCTGGATTACACCTCAACATAAAGAAAACAAAAATCCTCACAATAGGGCCAATAAACAACATCATAATAAACGAAGAAAATATTGAAGTAAAAGGGGAAAATATTGAAGTTATCAAGGACTTCATTTTACTTGAATCCACAACCAATGCCCATGGAAGCATCAGGGAAGAAATCAAACAACATATTACATTGAGTAGATCTACTGCAAAAGACCCCTTTAAAGTGTTGAAAAGCGAAGATGTCACTTGGAGGACTAAAGTGCGCCTAACCCAAGCCATGGTATTTTCAGTCACCTCATACTCATGGGAAAGCTGGATTACGAATAAAGAAGACCTAAGAAGAATTGATGCCTTTGAATAAGGTGTTGGTGAAGAATATTGAATACACCATGGACTGCCAGAAGAACGAACAAATCTATCTTGGAAGAAGTACAGCCAGAATGCTCCTTAGAAGCAAGGATGGCAAGACTTCTTCTCAAGTACTTTGGACATGATGTCAGGAGGGACCAGGCCCTGCAGAAGAACATCATGCTTGGTAAAGTAGAGGGTCAGCAAAAGAGAAGAAGACCCTCAACAAGGTGAATTGACACAGTGGCTGCAGTGATGAGCTCAAGAATAGCAAAATTGTTAGGTTGGCGTAGAACCAGGCACTATTTCGTTCTGTTGTACACAGGGTCGCTAACAGTCAGAACTGACTCAATGGCACCTAACGACAGCAACAGCAATGTAGTATATTTAAAAATCATGAATTTGTATGTTATTACTTGTTTTATGATAATATTCATAAGTGAGAGCAAAAGTTACGTGTATTAAATAGTATAACAAAAGTAACCATGTATACTTCCTATTAATAGGTTTGATTCAAAGTGATGATAATAATAATAATAATAATAAATGACTAATATAATTTATTGAGTAATTACTATGTGTCAAGCACTGTTCCAAGAACTTTATATATTTGGACTGATTTAATCCATACAACAATCAGGTCTATTGTTATCCCCATTTTATAGATGAGGAAACAGAGATGGAAAGAGTGAGTAACTTGCCCAGAGTTATACAGCTACAAGTGTTTGGTTCTGTTTATTTTTAACTCTCTACCCTTCACCTGTGCTCAGTACTTTTTGGTTCGACATGGTCTACAGTAAACCCAAACCACATGCAATAGTGTTTGTTTTTTGGAAATGATGATTATCCTCTACATCATATTATAAATATTTGGATTTAAGTTTACATGTGTCAGGATGGAAGTAGGTATGAGAGCATGTAGTTTACATTTTGAAATAAATAAACATGGACTTTGTATTTGCTCACTTTGGAGAATAGCATTAAACTAGTTACATGTCAATGATCTAGTGCACTTGTAATGGAGGATAAAATAAGGTAATGAATACCATGGAAGCTTGAAAGTAGGTTTGAGAGAAGAGGAAGAGGCAAAATATTCTAAGTGTTTTTACTTTTCTCAGAAGGAACCTCAGGGTTAAAGCTGAATAGGGGTCCATCCAATTAGCAGGGATTGGGCAGAAGTAACCCATAAGGAGCACCTGTGCCCTGGAGCATCATCCCATGAGCCGTATAACTTGGCCAAGTTACTTAACTTCTTTGTTACTGTAAGAATTAAATGACTTAATACATTTAAAGGACTTGGCCCAGTGCCTGGCACACAGTAAACTGTAAATAAACATTCACTATTACTGTATAGGAGCTCTGGTGGCACAGTGGTTAAGAGTTTGGCTTCTACCCAAAGGTTGGCGATTTGAGTCCACCAGCCACTCCTTGGAAACCCTATGGGGCAATTCTAATCTGTTGTATAGGGTCGCTACAAGTTGGAATCGACTTGATGGCAATGGGTTGGATTTTTTTTTTTTTTGTATAATTTTAATGCATAGTGAAAAGTGAGCTAGCTCAATACACTGGGTGTGAAAAACTGTGGACTTTGAAGGACAGCAGACCTAGGTTCATCTCCAGGTCAATTCCTGAAGGCGATTTGTTGAACAAAGAGTCCACGGAATTATTGAGTATTTAAGTTTCAGGAAATGGTCCCTACTCTGTCCTCTGCCCTGCTTGTCCCTGCCTCCAACAGTGAAACAGCTGTAGCCTCTCATGAATTGACTTCTGGGAATTTGACTTTCAGCTAATTGCTTTTCTGCTAGTCAATGAATTGGCAAATGGGCCCACTAACCCTGGGTGTGAATTCCTACTTTACCACTTTAGCTGTGTGACCTTGGTCAAGTTACTGAACTTCTCTGAGCCTCAGTTTTCTTATCTCTAAAAGTGGAAATAATAATTCTGACTTCAATGAGATAGCTATGAAGACTAAAGGAGATAAATTAGGTGAAATTGCCAAACACAAGATGAAGGCTTAGTAAGGATTTTAAATGCAAATGGTGCTGCTTAAGGGTTGTTCTTCCTCCCCATCTAATTTATAGAAATTAATAATGCTATGACACCCATTATATTCATAGATAATCGAAGAATAAACTTAAACCCAGCCCCAGGATATTGCCTTGTCCGTGAGGTTTTGCTAGGCATGATGGTTTGTCCTAATAGTCTTGATGTCATTCACCATCATTCACTGTGTTGCCAAGTACTATCCCTGTGAAGAGTTCCATTATAAGGGGATCTGAGAAGTGGTAGCATCCGCTGTCCTGGGAAAAAAAGGGATCTGACCATATTCCCTGCTTAGAATCTTCACTGCTTCACACTAGCTGGTGGCCAGACCTAAAGAAAACAAGTAAAGGCAGTGCTACTTTGTTTGAAACGCCCTGTGGGTACCCTGATACTCAACTCAGGGTTGTAACTGTTTATACATCTGACAGCTTCTTGCTCAATGTGGGGTTTGATCCTGTTCCTCTCTGGTCCCCTAGCATAGGGAGTAGGGTTTGCTTTTTTTTTTTTTTCTTTTGCCCTCCCCATATTTACGTGCCAGGCACTATTATAAGTGGTTTACATGTATTATTTCATTCAATTTTCCCTACAAAGTATGTACTAATATTATTCCTATAACCTGATAGGGAAATTAAGTAGCTTACCCAAGGTCACAGCTAGCAAGTGTCAGACCCAGGATTCAAGCTCTTAACACTGTACCATGTTCCCTCTTAAAACCCTTCCGTTACCAATTTCTTATTTTTCAGAAAACTTTTTTTGATGGCATGTGTTTTCAGTATTGGAATGCATGTTTACTAATCGAGTGTGTTTAAATTTTTGGTTGGTAATATGAATTTTGAGAAATATGATCTGGTTATACAAGCCACCAATAAGGTGAGTGGCACTCTGGCACCACCGATCCGTGGTATGACAGTATACCTGTGAGAACTAAATAGAGAATTTATTGCGGGCGCCTTTCCATTAGGTTACATGCGGAAGCTCTGGTTTTCCAAATCTGACACAGAAAAACCAAAAAACAAAAAAATCAGGGCTCCTTAACTGTCACAAGGAAAGTCAGAATTATGTTTGCAAGCCTTATCTCACAGAAATAAAGGGAAGAAAAGGCAAAAGTTTACAAAACTAACAGATCCAGGAAGCATCACCTAATAGCATGCTCAACCTACACAACAACGAGGCTCCAACTCCAGTCTGCTGAGCTTCACCTGTTTCAAAAGGGACCCACCTTGATGCTAAATGCATTAGAACCGGAATAACAGACTACCTTTGGGGTCCAGAGGGATAAAAAGTGGCTGGTAAACCTTTAAATCAATAGTAACTAAAGAGGTAATATCTGCAGGTGGGAGGCTGGGAGGCTGGGAGGCTGGCTATGTGATGCTATCTGATATCAGCTAGACGTGAATTCTTTAAGAAATCTATATGTATATATATTATTTTGTGCTGCCCACTTTATTAAACGTAAGGAATAGTGTTACTTGAGTCCTCGGATAGTTTTTCCATTTCAAATCCAAGATATAGAACATGACAATTTACTACTTTTTTGAGCTAATTGTTAAGACAGTTCAGGATAGAATTTTTCTTTCAAGTTTTCCATTCAGTCTTTCAGTAACTAAAGTGATGAAAAATTATAACTGTGCATGCCTGGCTCAGAGTAGCCTAGAAAAACCCACCAACGGGGGTTACTTAAGTTCTTATGGGTCAAACACACAAATGGCATTTGAAGTACAAGTGGTGTGTTTGAAAGGTGAAAAGGCAGGCGGCAGATCTGCAGCACGTGGAGGTCAGGGAGACCCGGAGAGCTCACCCTGCCCGCCTCTCGTCTTGTGTTTGTCACAGCCTTGCTCCTCAGCCTCTTCTTGAAAATGGAAAAGATGCTGTTGGGCTGCTTTCTGCTGATCCTCGGACAAGTGCTCCTCCTGTCCGCTGAGGCCAGGGAGCGGCCGCGCTCGAGGTCCATCTCCAGGGGAAGACACACTCGGACCCACCCCCAGACGGCCCTTCTGGGTGAGTGATGACGGCTCCACCTGCAGAAGGCGGCAGGATGGAGTGGTTAAAGGAGGATCACAGAGGACCAGGGATGATGCCAGGATAGGGGAGCTGTCCTATTCCTGGGCTGTCAGCTGGGTATGCCAGGGTGGGGGATCACATTGGTAATGAGCACATCCTCAGTTGAAGATGTGGTGGTACATGGGTTTTCAAAATGAAATTAAACCTCTTCTCTTTTAAAGCCTTCAGTTTAATCTGAGGCTCACAACTCTTCTCCAATATGCAGGGCAAGATTTTTCATCTGAAAAGGCCCTTGTTGGGTTTATCTTGGCAAGAGTGTTATAAGAATTTTTTATTGGATTTGTTCAGCTAAATCTGTGTTAATAATGCTTTCCTGCTTGGCAGGATGAGAAAAAGAGCAAGCAGGCTCTTTTTTTTGGCGGGGGGCAGGCAGTCACGGAAGAGAAGTGAGGACACTATGAGCTGAATCAAGATATTAGGAATGGAAAATGTCACGGGTCTATTATTCTGACCCGGTGAACATATTTTCTTCAGGCAAATTTTTTTCCATCCTAACCTCTGAGAGAAATGAAATGCCATGAAAACACACAGGACATAGATAAATTGGTTTAGTTCTAAATATGGGCTCTGATAAGCCTAGGATGAAGAGGTAATATGGAGGTTGGCCAGTGGGAAGGGAATGGCTTTTGGCATAGACTTGGATTCAAGTCCTAGCTCTGTTACTTACCAGATGTGTGTATTTAGGCAGCGTAACCTCTCTGAGGTTCAATTTCCTCATCTATAAAATAGGAATGGTAATACCCACCTTGAGGCATTTTTGTGAGGAGTAAATGAGGTGATAAAATAGTAGGTGTGCAATACATGATAGCCTTTACCACAGCTATCATTCCACGAAGTTGTTTCTTTGAAACTGTATTTTCCATTTACATCTTGTTGGCCAATGGTTAGACTCTACCACGTATGAAGATGAAGGCCATTGAGAGAACTGCCCAGTAACCAGGCAGTCTCAGCTTCTGAAATTACACTTAGGGAGAAAGCTTTGTTCTGAGAGGTCAGAATTTTTACTGGTGTTGACCTAAACAATGATCCCATGATACCGAGTTTCCCATGTCTTCAGTCTCCTGAGAGCAGGGACAGATTACCCAATAAGAAAGGTATGCTCGGGCCTGCTTGTGCTTACTTGCTAATGTGTAGTGCACAATTTCACCAAAAACAGATGAAACTGTGCACTACACGTAAGTAAGTAAGCACAAGTAAGCCCATGTGTAGCTTGCTTACTGGTTAATCCGCCCCTGCCTGAGAATGCCTGTTTTCATAGTGAGGTAAGTGTAAGACTTCTACAAGTGCAGAAACGACTGGGAAATGTTTAGTAGGTCGATTAAAAGGGTTTAAAAAAACTCATTTCAAGATGATCATAAACATGCATGTATAGAACTGGAAATGCCTGATTTCCTAGATCACCACCAGTGATTTGCATAGTTGGATTTCTGACAGGGCTGCTTTCAAGATGACCCACCTCACTCTTGTGGAATAAACATACTCTGCTTGGCCCCAAATCACTCTCTTTCTCGGTCTCTCTGTCATATTCGGTCTCTCTCACACACACCCTCACTCATATACATACACCTTCACAGTCACACCCTCACTCACATATACACCTTCACACTCACACACACTCACACAGACATACACTCTCTCTCTCACACACACACATACACAGGCACACACACACCCCAGAGCCTTCAAAGCTCAGGTTCTGAAGTGGAAGCCCCTTGTCTTCTGAGGTAAGAAATGGAAGCCTGTTTTGCCAAAAGGCATAAACCCCAGCGTTCAGCATTGCTGCCTATTTCTGGAGAATGTGTAAAGAGTAGAATGGGACACGGGCACGTATCCCCCACTCCAAGGACTGGAAGTGGGGTGCTGCTTGCAGTCACTTCTCTACTCCGTAAGCCCTGCAAGCAGCTGCTCCCAGGCATGCTGCTTGACTTAGGAATGGGGTTGAGTTAGAATGAGAATCATGAACTCAGAAGAGGAACACTTACAACTGTGGGCTGGATTCTCAAGTGAAATCTGCACTTGGTCTTACTTTGACAGGGAACACAGATGGAGAGGCCATGGTTCATTGGTAGTCTTTGCAATGATTAATGTGACCTCCACTTCATTATTACAATATGGTGCCTTGTGTTTTATGGCTGTTTGCTTTTCTTGGCTTTTTGTTTCCTGTGTTTAGAATATTGCCCAGGCCACATTTCACTTGTTTATGGACAATCACTGTGGCTGTTTTTATGGTATCCGCCAGCATGATGTATTTCTCTAGTGACTTGTTTACTATGATGTCACTGAATTTCCTTTTGATGAAAGTTTTAACAGAGAAGAAACAGCAGAATTGTTTCTTAGGTTCCTTTTTTGTTCGGATTTTATGTTTATTCCTTTTTATGTTTATATTTTACGTGTAGATTCAGATCAGAGTCCAAGTAACAACTTGAACTAGTTTAAAAAATGCATGGGTGTATCTTCCCATTCTGTGAACGTTTACAGGCCGTCCGCATGTCTGTCTGTGATGTCTGTTTGTGTGGGTTCACCTCTTACCTCATGCATTCATCTGGAATTTCTATTCTGTGCCAGACACGGGGGATTTAAGATGAATAACCACCATCAGGAGGCCCACAGTATAGTGGGGGAGACAGACATGTAAAAAGATAATTTGGTGGAATCAGTGTGCAACAATAGAGTCATATCTAAGTTACAGCTCGTCTATGCCTGCTGAGTGAGCTTAGTATAAGGCAGTAGTTCTCGAACTTTTTGCTCTCAGGACCATTTTACACTCAACAATAATTGAGGATTCCAAAGAGATTTTGTTTATGCAGGTTAGATCTATCCATATTTACTGGATTAGAGATTGAAATGGAGAATATTTAAAAATACCTATTTATTAATTTAAAAATAATAATAAACCCATAACATGTTAACACAAATGAAACATTTATGTAAGAAACTATATTTTCCAAATTTAGAAAATTAAAATTAGAAGAGTGGCATTGTGTTACATTTTTACAAATTTCTTTAATGTCTGGCTTAATAGATGACAGCTGCATTCTCTTATCACCTCCATTCAATCTGCTGGGAAATGCTGTTCTGTTGGTCTATATGAAGAAAATATGATCTCATAGATATGTAGTTGGAAAAAAGAGGAGTATTTTAATAGCCTTTTCAGATAGTTGTGGATATTCTTCTTTGATACCATACCAAAACTTGACAAAACATAGTTTCTTAAGGGTTAGTTGCATTGTGTAATCTGAAACCAGATCAATGAAGTTTTTATACTCTGTATACTCGTGAGAGAATGAAAGTAAGAAAAAGACAAATATTATTAGTGTTTAGTGTTTTATTGGGCAAATAAAAAAGTAATATTAGCCAAATTTTACAATTTAGTATTTCATAGTGTTACTGTGAACATAGTCGCTGTCGAGTCGACCCTATAGAACTGCTCCACAGGGTTTCCAAGGCTGTAATCTTTACAGAAGCAGACTGCCACGTCTTTCCCAGAGGAACGAACCACCGACCTTTTGGTTAACAGCCAAGTGCTTTAACCACTGTGCCACCAGGGCTCCTTCAAAGAGTCTCGGGGCTCCTAAAAAACCAAAAACCAAACCAGTGGCCATAGAGTCGATTCCAACTCATAGCCACCCCATGTGTTGCAGAGTAGAACGGCACTCCATAGAGTTTTCAAGGCTGTAAACTTTTGGAAGCAGATCGCCAAAACTTTCTTCCCCGGCTCTTCTGGGTGAGTTCTAACTACCAACCTTTTGGCTAGTAGTCGAGCACTTAACCCTTTATGCCACTCAGGAACTCCATCAAGGGCCAGTAGGGATCCCGCTGGTCTAAGAGAAGCATTCCCAGTGAAGGTCAAGATCATGCAGAGCCTGGAGGGATGAGCAGGCTGTAGAGGAGGGAGGAGAAAGCATGGAGGTAGAACTCGGTTATGGAATTGGCAACCACCAGGCAATCTGTAAGGTGGGTGGTCTGAGTGGGAAACAAGCGTGGAGGAGGTGGGAACCAGATCATTTAGGACCTAGGGGGCTTTGACAAAGAGTTTGGGCTTTATTTTGTAGGGGTAGGGAGCCTGTCTTAGTCATCTAGCTAGCTTAAGCATCCACAAGTGGATAGCTTTAACAAAGCGAAATTTATTCTCTCGGAGTTTAGGAGGCTAAAAATCCAAATTCAGGGTGCCAGCTCTAGAGGAAGGCTTTCTCTCTCTGTCGGTTAGGGAAGGGACCTTGTCATCAATGTTCCCCTGTCCAGGAGCTTCTTACCGCAGGAACCTCTGGTCCAGAACGGCGTGCTCTGCTCCTGGTGTCACTTTCTTGGTGGTATGAGGTCCCCATGTCTCCGCTCGCTTCTCTCTTTTATATCTCGAAAGAGACTGACTTAAGGCACAACCTAATCTTGTAGATTGAGTCCTGCCTCATTAATATAACTGCCTCCAATCCTAACTCATTAACATCATAGAGGTAGGATTTATAACACATAGGAAAATCACAAAATGGTGGACTATCACACAATACTGGGAACCATGGACTAGCCAAGTTGACACACATTTTGGGGGGACACAGTTCAATCCATGACAGAGCGCTTGGAGGATTTTAAGCATGCAACAATAGTGATCACTGTTAACTCTACCCATTACGCCCTCTGGACAGCCTCAACCTTCTGAGCTATGGCAAAGGGCAGGGAGAGCTATCTAATTAGGATGCATTCCTAAACCAAGGCTCTCAGGCCACCAGGAGAACAAACAAGGACATTCTCCAGTCAAATTCCTTCTAGACAATGACACCAACAGGTAGATTGGAGCAGCAGGGAGTGCTACACCCAGAAGCATAAGCTCAACGGAACCCCTTCAAATTCTGCCCCCACCATCCTTTATCAGTGGCAGAGATCCCCTTCCAATCCCCTTCCTATACCCCCCTCAAGGTGGCCATAACTGCAAGACATGTTGC